TCACCAAGAACTAACCAAGGCCACAGGCCGAATGATCAGACCAGGCGCCAAGCCAACTGATCCAATCTTCAAAACTAATACGACCTGTCCCAACATCATAGCAGGCGTCCGGCGGCATCCCTCCGGATGAAATTCGTCGCAGAGAGCAGCTCCCTTTTGGGTGAAACATTGCTCTATAAACTAATTACACGGCACCTACACGACTGTCCCCAAGGGCAACCACGTAGCCGTTTTTGAGACAAGGATAACTCTATCACTAACCAAACCAGTGGTAGCAGTTGACATCTGAGTCAGATGACCGCCTGTATTACTTGGGATAAATGCAGGGGGTACCTCTTGAGTTAATAGCCAACAAACATTGGCGAATCAAAAGGTTCAGCCGGCCTCCGCCGCCTGGTACCTTTACTACTCAAGCAGGAGTGACGGCGATTGAGTAACACCAAAGTTAACTCATAGTCACTCTCTCAAACTTAGTATGGAGCCTAAAAGGTATGAGTCGTCCGCCTGTTTTTAGCAAACAGGGGCTCTCAACCACTACTCCTGCTAGGTTAACAACCTATGAGTTAAAAGCCAACAAACATTGGCGAATAAAGGGGAACAACCGGTACCCACCGCTTGATACCTCTACTACTCAGTTACTTGGCGACTAGGTAACAATCATGTTTACTTGGTCACTCCTTAAAAATTTAGTATGAAACTAAAAAGGTGTTCATACAGCACCGGCTCACACTAGATTAAATATGGCGGGGAACATTCGGCCTAGACGGCCTAAAGTCTCTAGCCTAAAAACATGACAAGTAGGAAACCACTTTCCTACTTGGTTAATTTTACAAATGGCAGGACCGCCTGCCTAAAGGGGATCCAGTCTTTAAAATGGTTCGAATACCGATTGGATAAATGGCCGACTGATCGTCTAGCCTGGAAACAGACGACCAGTCGTCCAGGGGCATAGGCGGCGTGACTAACTATCTGTACCTGTCTGCCACTATCGGCCATGTAAAACAGTCGGTATAGTGTACAATTGGATATCAGAATATTCAATACTTGAACAAGTTTGAAGCAAAACAAAAAAATTCATTAAAAAGAAGCCGGTCATTAAAGACCGGCAAAATATTCAAAGCCCCGGCCCCCTGGCCGGGTAAATACAAACAAACGGCACGCAGGCCGTGGAAAGAAGAGATAAAGCTTAAGAAGGGGGCAGATCTTCAATATTAGCAGCTGCCGCCTGTCAGCACTCTTCTTGCTGGACTCGGCTTCAGCTGCATCCTTCTTTGATGCATTACCCCCAAGCGGCACAAGCGCCACTACCGGCTCCTCCTCCAACGCCTCTTCCTCAGCAGCCGCCAGGATCTCTTGATTATATCTATCAGAACACTGGCAGTACGTTTTTTCCCATGAGGCAAAGTCGGCATTGGGGAAGAGGCGGCCCCAAGTCATGCGCTGGATTTGAGCAGAGTCTTCCATCATCTCCCGGACCAGCTCTTTCTTTTCTTGCTCGGCCTTTTCCGAGAGCTCCTGAGTAAGACTCTTCTCCTGGGTCACCAGGCGTACCTTTACGCTCGCCAAGGATTTCTCCAAGGTTTCGTATGAGGACATCTTTTGGCGAAGAGGTCTCAGCTCGGCCTTGAGGTTGTTGATGGTCGCCTCCAGCTCGCTATTCCTCTTCTGGGCCGCCTCTAACTGAGCCCGGATAGCGGCGGTAGCCTGCGCCTGATAATAAAGAATATCAATGGTCAGAACTTCATTTTGGGCAATTTGAAACATTGCCTTATCACAGTCAGAGGCGGCCATAGCTTTTGCAGCCTTTACCTCTTTGTTCTTCCGGTCAAGCGGCTTGCGAAGGCCGTTCACTCGGAGCAGGGCCTAAGTAAAAAGGGGGAACAGGCGTCAGTTTCCAAACAAAAAGGAAACAGGCGTCCTGGAATTCAAATACTCAAAAATATGCTAAGTATACCTCAGCAAGGACCCCTGCAATCCCGTCTAGGTCAAGGGTGCCGACACCCCTGACCGCCTCCCTTTCAGCTGGAGGAACGACCTTGATCATAGACTTGGCCACCTCGACCAAGTCAGGCTCCTAAGGGCCGGCTGCATCAAGCATAAACAAACGGATTAGACCTAGTAAAGAAGGGAGCAAGTCTAAAATTTACAAGGATAATTTCATACTTTTAGGTGGCCCAGCTGGAGTTTTAGAAGAAGTGGCCGGCTGTTTCTCAGCCGCCGCATGTTTCCTGGCAGAACCAGGAGAGCTCGCAACAGTCGTCCTCCGGGCCTTGGGGTCCGGCTGTTGGGAAGAAGAATCTCTTGGAGCGCCCGTCTAAAAAAGAAGAAAAGAGTCAGTATATGCATAAACACAACTCCAAAAAGAGGGTGAAAGGTTCGAAGCCCACCAAGGGTGCTCCCTTGTTGGGGGAGTCGGTTGAAGACTGTTGCATGATGGAGGCCTGCAACATGGCCGCCGCAGTCTTGGAGGCGGTAATTTTGCTCATGGCGTCCGCTGCAAAAACAAATAGCAAAGTTAATAAAAGTCATAACAAGAAATGCACGGAACAACAGAGTATTCGACAGGCCGGCTACCTCTTGAGCACCGACTGCTGAGGCCACAGGCGGCCAAAAAGTACTCGTCGTAGAGCCATTTGAAGCTCGGGACGCAGTGCAGGGGTACTTGCTCTCGTACCTCTTGAGCACCGACTGCTGAGGCCACAGGCGGCCAAAAAGTACTCGTCGTAGAGCCATTTGAAGCTCGGGACGCAGTGCAGGGGTACTTGCTCTCGTACCCCTGAAGTAGAGTTCACCTTCGACTCTACTTTGAAGAGTCCTTTATCTAGGATCTCTTTCTTAGCCTTGGGGGGAACAGGCGGCATGCTGCGGCCGCCTGCAAGAAGGGGCGGATTCCTGTTCCACCTGTTGAAGCGCTTGTTCAGCTCTGTGTCTGAACTCTCAATGATAAGGAAGGTGCTCCGCCAGTCCTTCCATTTGTTTGCTTTACCTCTCGTCATGAGGTAGCCCCTGTGGCTCGTCAATTGATACCAGCCGGTACCGCCTGCCTTAGGGGTCCGGCTGAGGTAGTTCATGTGGGCGAAAGCCTCGAAGTTCGGCTCCACCCCATACAGTTCGCACCCGGCCACATAGCCGAGTACGTTAACCCAGGAGTTCGGGGCTAACTGCCATAACCCCAACTCATACCCATCCAAGATCCGCTGAACAGCCGGATGTAGTGGGAAGCGCAGCCCAGCCTTGATGGCCACCTCGTAGCAGCCAAAGCAGCCGTCATCATAACTGGAACCAGTCGGCCATACGACTGTGTCTTCTGGATCCGGCACGAATACTAAAAAGCCGGGGCCCATTGTGTGGTTTGCGATAAAGCTCTCCACTTTCTCTTGCATGGCCGTGATCCGGCCCCGAGGTACCGTACAGTAGTAGGGGGTATTTTGCTCTCGGTGAGAGGCGGATGGCTCGCCCAATCGTCCCCCTTCTCAACTGCGTGAGAAAGCCTCGCCTCTTGTAGGCGACTGTTTTTCTCTTCTGTGTCCAGGGAAGCATGGCCAGAAGAGCTAGACTCGGAATCGTCCTCTGACGAGTCCGAAGAGGACGACTCTTCCCCTCTCCCGGAGGGGCCCGCCTCCTCTCCTTTAAAAGGAGCAGGAGAGAATGTAGAATTGTCAACTGTAAAATGGGAAGGGGTCACTTTGACTCCTCCCTCAGAACTGCCGGCTTTCAAGCCGCTTTGTTTCACTTCCACATCTGGCGCCTGGTCAGATGTTTCACTAATCGGCACCCTGTGGGAGGAGCCGTCTGAGTTTGAGATCCTGGCAGTCTTTTTTGTTCTGGCCATCATGCTCTGCATAGACACAGATACAGTCGGACTTTGTATAAAGGGCAAAGATGGGTCCAGAAAAGGGCAGGCGGCACTCCTAGTCCTAGATTCAGCCGTCCCCGATGACCGGCTGATCACTAACCTAGGTCGTGTCGTGTGCTTCCGTGGTGCCATTTCAAAAAAGAATAAAGTAAAGAGAAAATTAAGAGTAAGAGGACCGACGGTTACCTGAACGAGTGACGATTGATGAAATTCTGAAAATCCTTTGCAGTCGGCTTGTCAGAGCAGGCGGTAGGCAGAAAGGGTCCAAAATGTCAGAGCAAGTTCAGGGGTCCGAATGTTCTCTCGCAAAGTTTTCAAGTGTGAAAATGACCGAAGTCAACACTCCTTTATATAGGCGAAGTGAGAAGGCGAAGGGTCACTTCCAGAATTCAAAATTTTGGCGGGAGAATCTCTCGGCCTCTCGCCGAGTGACACCTGTAGCAGGCCGTCGCCTGTTACAGGGCGATACCTGTCACAGGTAACACGTGACCAGTCACGTGCCACCTATGAGGGGCAAATGATTAGGGGATTTTTCCCCACCAATCACCATCTGACAAGTGGACCAATCAGGTTCCGCCATGTGTCCGTCACATGGGCCAATAGGAGCCTGCCACGTGTCAAGCAATGATCCGTCCACTATGGACCAATTACGACACGACACGTGTCCTTCCCATGACACCTGGGATATCCGGCCACCTAGGCCCAACTTCCGAGGGAAGCCCAATCAACCCAAGGTTAACCTAAACCTAGATTGGCACGTTTCCCGAGGTTATAAATACCTCCCTTAATCCTCATTAAGAGAGAAAAAACATGCTAAAAAACGCAGATTACACACATTAAACACTCTCACCTAGAGAGACCCAATCACTTTAATTTCCGCATTAATTACTCCTTAATCAAGTACTAACTTGACCGTTGGAGGCGGATCTCCAATCATCCGGAGCATCCGTTTGTTTTGCAGGTACAGGCGTCCGGTTCCAGTCTCGGAATTGTAACTCTCCCGCAGGACATCAGAAAACCCCGAAACAAGTGTCATTCATAATTTCTTTCCTGTGAGCAATATTGGATGTTCTGATATACTTTTTTACTATCAGTCTTCTGCTGTACTGGTAACACATGATGCTTGTATTGTTTTTATTGTTAGAGAAAGATGAGTTGTGCACGCAGGTCCCAGTTATATTGCTTTTGCCATTCAGATGTATTGTCAAAGGTAAACAACATATATGAATAAGTGAAACTTCTGGGTGTTTCAATTGTTTATCTGAATAATGTGCTGTCTTCTGGAATGGGAATTTCAAATGCCAGGAGTGTTTCTATTGGTCTATCAGGACTGCTGGCTTGGAACAGGAAATTGAGAACTTGAAGAAGAAGTTGGTTGATTGTGCCAGAGAATTTAAATATCAGGGAGGAGCTTTCCGAGGCCCAAAGAATTAAAGTGAGTTTTAAACTTTATCTACAATATGATTTTAAATGTCATGTGTCTGATGGGTTTTCTTTTCCTTTTCCGAACTTATATAGATAAACTCGACAAATCGGAGGTTGCAAAGGTCTCTCTATTTCTGTCTTTGTGAAGTTATAATTGAGACCTTAGTTAAGTTATAATTGATTTTGGTTTCCTTTAAATGACGTGTTATACATCTACTGAGTTTCTTTGACATAGATCTTATGCACATTAAATCATTTAATGTAAAATTTAATGTAAATTTGGATGAATGTTGAGAATGTCTTTTTTTTTGTTGCTGTCTAGTGCATGTGTGCGCGCTTACACATCTGTGCTTGTCTCTCCTTTAGGACATGTAATAATTTGAAATTTGTATGTCGGTTTTGTTGTTTACTGCTTACCTATTTGGGTTGTTGCATAATATACTTATATGACTTTTCATGGTTATTTTGTAAGGTTGTTGCTGCTGTTGGAGCTGCTTAACTGATGCTGGAGCTGCGTGTTACTACTTCTCTTGGATTCTGCTGCGGTTGTTTGGATGCTGTTGCTTCTTGTTATTTACTATTTTTTATTTACAATATTATTGAGTTGTAAAATTGGATTTTGTGTTTGATAATATGTAAAATTAGATTTGATATATGTTATTATACTTACTAATTAGGAAATTTTGTTAAAAACCTCCCATTAAAAACACATTTTTGTCAAAAACCGCCCGAAAAAAAAAATATGTTGCCCAGGACAACCCAATTATTAAATTTTGTTGTCAAACGCCACCCGACTCTACATTCCGACATAGACCTAAATCTCCCGCGTTGACTTTTTCCATGTGACTTGCACTTGATTTTTAATGACCCCCTCCCTCTTCTTTCCGTTTTTTCCTTTGAATTTTTTTGAGTTCCTACACTCTCTCTCTTCTCTCTTCTCCTCTGTTCTACATTAAATTACTTAATATAAAACAAAGAGGAAAAATAGAGTGCAATAAGAATACTCAAGGTGGAAAGTATCATACAAGGAGTAAAGCGAGCAAGCTCAGCTGTAATATGAGAATATTCCGATCGTCGGAAAAGTTAACGGCAGCGGCGGCGGAACCAAGAAGCATCTAGATCCCCAAATTCAAGGTTCATGAAAGTTGAAGAACAAGGGTCAAGGTGTAGCTGCGTCACACTAGATTGTAGCTCCTGAGTTCTTGAATTTTGATGATGATGAAGAAGATGATATGACGGCTTAAACCCAGCCGTCTAATTTTTTTCTTCAATTAATTTCCTTTTTGGAATTTAGTGGCCTAATGTAGTGTTAGTGGGCAGTAATTTACAAATTAGGGATAATCTAAAGTTGTTGCTCTCAACAATTGGGTTTTACTAATTCCAGACCTTTTGTTCAATAACAATGGAGCTTGCAAAGAGAGGAGAGAGAAGGAAGAGGAGAGAGATAATGGAGGGAACTCCAAATTTTAATTTTCCAGGAAAAAAAAGGGAAGGTAGGGGTTTATTAAAGACACGTGCAAGACACATGGGTAGGGTCAACACCGGAATTCTGAGACAATGCCGGAAAATAGACTCTTGTGGCATTTGACAGCAAATTATTAAAATTGGGTGGTTCTAGACAACAAATTTTTTTTTCGGATGGTTTTTGGCAAAAAAGTGTTTTTAATGGGTGGTGTTTGACAAAATTTCCTTTAAATTTTATAAGTGGTGCATAGATAAAGAATAGGGATATTTGTAACTGGCACCTTTATTGTGCCTGTTACAAATACCCCTTAAATTTTGCCTTTTTTAGACTCTATTTGTAACGGGCATCAAATACCATCCATTTGTAACGGGCAAGTAAAATGTCCGTTACAAATAAGTACTTATCTGTAACGGGAAAGTAAAATGTCTGTTACACAGATAAGTCTATCTGTAACGGGAATTTTACTTGCCCGTTACAGATAAATACTTATTTGTAACGGACACCGCCGTTACAAATAACTTTTCCTATCCGTAACGGCCGCACCCGTAACGCCTGTTGCCCGTTATGGATAGACTGTTTTTGCTCATTACGGATAACCTTTTTTCCACTAGTGAGTTTTGTTCCGCTGCGGTGTAGTGGGCTTGAGAAAGAACGAAGAAGAGGAGGTCAACGGGGGAAAGAAGATCGGAAGTCGACGACGGAAAGAATATCAGAGTGGAAGATGGTGGCTGTGATTATGGTGGTTGTGATGATGGTGGCATGATACAATTACGTAGTATTTACAATTGTGCCGTTTAAGTAACAAATGTTGTTACTCAAAACTGGGGCTAGCTCCGCAATAATAGCCAAATAGGAGAAAGTTACGAGAGAAAACATTAATGAAGGGTAAATTGAGAGAGAAGTGCGAATTTGCTCTTCATAACTTCATTGGTAAGATAAGCATAAGCTAGTACACAATACTCTTAGGCTGTTAGCAAGAACTCCGTCTTTCCTTGGCAAGCTTAGAGGATGTCAAATAACGTCTGAAGGCTCCTTGACAATCTGCCCGGATATCAAGACAATTGGAGTGCTCTCTTCCTACCTGGATGCCGCACCAAATAGCCCCTAGCTCTGCAAGGCCAAGTTAGTTGTTACTTCCATGCTTCCTTTGCATATGGTAGACACCCAAATGTGTCTCCCCAAAACCAAACCCAGCGATGAATACCTTTCATGTCATTTGATTATCGAATGAGGTGAAAGTGTGAAAAGTCTAGTGATGAGGATGTTTTTATTAAAATATCTCTTCTTTCTGTTTTTTGAAAATATTTCTTTTCTTACCCTATTTATGAAAAACGTGCATTCCAGTTTAGTTTGGTCCATGATAAGGGTCTAATAATAGTGTGGTTGGATAGGGCTCAAAAAGAGCTTTCCAACGATATATTATAAGCCCAATTCTGATGAATAATGAGGAAGTTATGACCAAAATACTAAATTGGGCCCGGTTTGGTTCTTACATACAGCCCAATGATCTAAAGGATGGCCTATTATTAATTATCATTCCTAAAGCTATTAGGATTGATTATAGTCTTCTAGAATACTCTAGAAGGTTCTTTTGAATCCTAATGGAGTTAGGATTGATAATTATGTTTCTAAGAGTTTGAAATTGAATAAAACTACTCCTTTTGAGAATCCATGTTTAATACGAGATGGAATATGTTCAGATATTATTTTCGTGCCTCATAATCTTTATCCAAATTTTATATGGTTGGATAGATCTTGAAACTATCTTTTCAATGATATATTATAATATTAAATCCGAGCTATAACGGAAAAAATATGAATAGAATATGAAACTCTATCCAAAACTGACACCCTTTCACTATTTTGGCCATATCTTTTTATCCAACTACATATTTGTAGACACCTAAAAATGTCTCGCCAAAACCAAACCCGATGATAAATAACCTTTCACCGCCATCATTGGTCGGGTTGAGAATTTAATTTTTGGAGTGCTTAAATCCATATTTCCATTTCATAAACCAACCCAACTCCTAGCCCATTTCCCCAAACCATAACTTATTTTCCTCTTTTCGTGCCTTTAAACCCAAAAATAATTCATTTTGTGTCCTTTAAAATCATTCATTTCGTGTCCTTTTTTAAAAACGTTTGATCCAGTTTATTTTGGTCCATTATCTGGGTTTAATGATTGAATTGTTGGATGGGGCTTTAAAAGAGCTTTCCAACGATATATCATAAGCCCAAATCCGAGTTATAATGAATAAGTTATGGCCAAAATATTAAACTAGCCCAAACCGAACCTAAGCCCACCTTACCTACGACCCAATGATCATGTGGAGGGTCCAAATTATTTAATCCCATTCCTAAACCAATTAGGATTAATTGGAAGCTTCTATAAGTTTCTAAAAGATCTTAATTATCCTTTTTGAAAAGATAAGATTAAATAGTTTGAAATTGAATAAAACTCCTTTTTTTGAAAATCCTATTTATATCCGAATTGAAAGACGTTCAAAGATAGACATATATTATTTTCGTGCATAATAGTTTTTATCCAAATTTTATATGGTTATATATCCCTTGAAATTATCTTTCCATTGATATATTATAATATCAATTCCGAGCTATAACTGAAAAGATATGAATAAAATGTCAAACTCTATCCAAAACTGACACCGTCTCACTATTTCGGATATATCTTTTGTTCTACAAAATATTTTAATCTGATTCTAATTGGATTAGAAAGTAGACTTCAAGAGCTTTCCAATGATATCTTATTCCGATTTCTGGATCAAAAGATATGATAAAAAAAAAACCGCAAAAACTGTTGTCTATCGCAAGAGTTTTATCCGATTCGAATTCTTATCTTTTCTTGATTCTTCGACCCTCTTTTTTCTCTATAAATAGAGGTCATATCACCCCTTTTTCAATCATCAACAAGCTTGATCACAAATTAATTCTCTTCTCCCTCTTTAGGCTAAACACTAGCCTCCCCATTCTCTCACCATTCTTCTCTTAAGCACTCTAAGGAGTGTGTACTAAACCCGAGGTTCCGTCCTTTAACCAAGGCGTGAAAGTTATAATTAACTGAGGGTTTGGACCAAATCAAATCTACATTTATTTAATTTAATTTCATTTGCTTTATATTTTTATTGAAGTTACTAACAGTTTATTCATGATGTAGCAATTTAAAGGAACGTGCGGAATGTGAGTAATTAATTAATTTAATTACTCTTATTTTATTTTTATATTGCTAGTATCATGATTAGGTTTATTATTATTTGATCTGACTCACATTATTATTGTTAAATTGCTTCCAATATTAATGTTTATTCTATTATATTTATTGATCACCATTTTGCATGTTTAAAGGGAATATGTAATTGAAAATCACGCCTAATAAGATAATTTGGACAACCGGTTTAGGTTCCTTTTTAATCTTGTTTTTTAATCAAGTGATCACCAATATTTTAGAATTATGTGTGCATTAATCTTAAACCAATTTAGTTAAATAATAGTTTGGAGCGAATTGAATTATTGTTTGTATGCCTTTGAGATCACAGGAATGCTTTTCACTATAAGAATCGAGTAGAGGCCAATACGGGCGAATGTGACTCCATGACTCACTTCGTACCATCATCCCCGATCCTCCTTTCGTGGTTCCGAACCATATGGAGTTACTAATCTCATGGATTATGAATGGGGTGTAACCTTCACGGGTCAATTGTTGTTGCCTTCGTTGTCCCTTATTCGTGGTTGCCTTTTATGATCCGTGAACGGTTTACAAGTTCCTTAAAAACTTGTTGGCGGATCCCTACTTTATTTGTCCCCAATCGTTGTCCCTAATCGTAATGTCAATTCCCACATCCTATGAGTGCCAAGCATATTCACAACATGCTTTTTACGTAGGCGCACTTCAAACGACGCCTACAATATTATATGCCTTATTTGGACTTCTGGATCAAAAGATATGATAAAACAAAATCCGCAAAAACTATCCTGCAGCGCCAGACGACAAGCTTGTCGGGCGGCGACAAGGGCAGTTGTGGCGACAACGTCGTGTTTTATTCCTCTTCAAACTCCGATTCTTTTTTTATAAAATCCGGACTATTTTCATTATAAATAGCGTCATTAGACCTCCGTTTTTTAATGAACTCTCAACCAAAACTCTCTAATTCTCTTCTCTCTTTAAACTAAAGCTTATTCTTTCTCTCTCTTTCTAAGCCTAGCCTTTTACAAACACAATTCCTCATACATTAGCACTAGACACACGTAGCCAAGTTTGAATTTGTCTTCGCCCTAGACGTGAAAGGTTTGGTGTAGACACCCATTTGTGTCTCCCCAAAACCAAACCCGGTGATGAGTACCTTTCACGTCGAATCATAATCGAATGAAGCAAAAGTGTGGAAAGTTTAGTGTTGCGGATAGTTTTAATTTCTTTTCTCTTCTCTTTGTTTTTTGAAAAC